TCCTATTAATTATTGCTAACGATCAACATCAGAGCAAGCAGTTGAATATACTGCAGTACAGCTGTGTGCAACAGCGCGCTCGCTATTCACTAACTTTTGTTAACTAGCGAAAGTTAGTGAAGTAGCGGAATAGCTACTCCGCTAAAACTCTCTCCAATTAGCGAATAGCGCTCTATTGCCCAACTCTCTTAAAGTGCAAGTTTTCATTCATTCCGTATCAGTCCTACTTGCACAAACTATCTTTCGACGGAAATTGCAACAGAAAGACACATTCATGAAACTTAGCAAAATGCAGTGGACATTTGATGAAAGAGTCCCACATGAACTTCGGAGCCGTTGAGAAAACGTCACTGAATTGGATGAAACATTTAAGAGACAAACCCAAAATCGGTGATCCGTTATAATACCCGTCTCGAATGATAACGAAGTTGTCTTGTTCAATCACGCACTCATCCAGCGAACGTTCCCAGTGAGCTGTCGATATGTTCAAAACAATTATTTCGCCCATCGATGCTATTATGCGCCATTCACATTCTCCATATCCATCCAATCGCAGCTCACCGTATTCTCTCATTAATGTTTCACCACATGCTTCAATTGAGTAAGTTTAATTCTTTCTTCAAATTGCAATCTCAGACATGACAATATCAGAAATAATGCTCACGTCAAAAAACAATCATCCTGCTCACAATAAAAGCACTAACTATGACAATAGTAAATGATAGCAGTTTTTGGCAGCGCCGAAAATATCGCGAACAATATCAAAATGTCAAAGTAAATTAATGAGAATGAAAGCAATGGCAGTGGCATTGAATTTGTACGAACCAGGACATTTGTACAATTTTTTGGTTTGAGCAATATCACCAGGTGAGAGCTGAATTCGTTGTCCGATTTCAGGTCGTCGCCCATTCATGATAACTTTTGGGAGTATCGTATCGAGGTAAATGGCACGTGAGAACGTGTCTCTTGCGTAGTGCATTATCGATGCATAATCATACGGTTCACCCAGTGAATCAATTTCATCAGTTTTCAATTTATCAAAGTTATAATCCTGCGCTGAAATTTTTGTTACTCTTTTCAGTTACTCAAGTGAGTCGTCAATCAGTTGAGGTCAAATGATATAACAGTAGATTGATTAATTCAAATAGAACATGATCGGTTGTCAATGAACGAACTCAGTGAGGATATCGCCATAAAGCTCGATTATGACTATGCTGGCAATAGAACTGCTAACAGTTACAGTGATGCTAACAACTATTATAGAATACGATCAATAAGAATAGCTATAGTAATGCAGGCAAATAACCTACACTGTTGGATACTTTTATAGAAAATTTCGACGTGATCGTCTCGGTCCAATCGGGTGTGTTCATGCCAGAAACCGATAACGTGGCCTAATTCGTGAACTACAATGCCGAATTTATCGCAGTTCTTTCCGATTGAAATTGCTTGCGGGCCATCGCCTCGCCGACCAACATAAGAACAACATCTGAAAATTATTTCGATTATGTGAAGAATGCACTCATCTCCATTCCGAACTTAAGTTTATTTATCGTTTCAGACGGGATTTGAACAGCGATCAACCAGCAGATCATGGAATAAGATATGAGATGGAATTAGTTTGAAGGTGGTTGAAGTGATTGATGGCAGTGGATGAAT